TCGTTTGTGACTAATAAGCCTTAGATATTGAACGACCCAAACTCATTACCAAGCTTTACCAGGTGCCATGGTCAGTGATTTTGCAACCTGGAAGGTTCAGGTTCAAATCCTGTGTCTGTGATTCCATAAAAGGGAAATTTCAGCCAGATAGCCAGACAATAGTGTGTAAACACAAAAAATGTCCATCTGGTTTTACATGACATGACTAATCACTCACTTTCTTAATTCTCCTTGCCACTGCTGACTAGGGCTGTGCGATTAATCGAAATCGTCATAAAATCGCGATTTGAGCTTACGCGATTTCTAAATAGACCAGGCGGGCATACAAACGTAACGCCAGGTTCACACACTCCGTCTGTGGTGTGTATTTTTTCCACACCCATGTTAACGAATCCGAGCGTTCACACTGCACGCAATTGCGGTCCGGCAGTGCGATCCAGGAGCGGTGCATCTGCAGCAGTCATGCTGCGATAGTTTCCGCACAGAATCTATTTCTGCTGTGCTGCACGCACTGAAGTAAAGTGACAGTGCATTATTTGCGGTAAAAATGAACATGAATTGACACGGAAAATTAGTAATTACACCATAAATGCATATAATTAAAGTCTACTGTTTTACAGTCAACACATGGCTCTTTGGCTAGATTTAAAACAAGGAAAAGTGCACTTTTAGATAAACAAGGCAATAATAGATGGCTCTCGTGGTGGTAGTTAAAGTTATATTTATTGAGTTTAAACGTGAATATGTCTATGAAAGATTGTATTACTGTACTGTGATAAAAGAGAATCACAATGCTGAAAAAGCATTTTTGGATTTGAAATCAAAATAATGGATAAATGTTGTGTTTGTGGTAAACAGCCACAGATCAGGAGCGGACTGCAAATGCGAAAGCAAAATGAGTCCGTGCTGCTTCTGCAGCATACACATACTGTATATGCACTGCAGACGGAGTACGTGTGAACTTGGCGCAACAAATCTAGTTCAACATCTGAGGCAATGCCACAAAGAGCTCTATGACCAATGCATGGCAAAAATAAATCCCTGGACGCTGGGTTTTTAATTTCTTTTTTCTGCCATATATGTCTATTCTAGAGACATTTTGTTACACCTTTACTTAGTGATTATTTTGCCTTATGTCTGTTCTAGAGACATGTTACAGCTTTTTGATAAAGCTCTAATTGGTTTTCTTTTGGAAATATGTTTCAAATTTACACTGACTGCATTAATGACTGTAAAGCATGTCTGTGTGTCAAAATCGTGATTAAAATCTAAATCGTAAAATTGATCAAAGAAATCGCGATAGGTTTTTTTTGTCCATATCGCACAGCCCTACTGCTGACCCAGGTTTCTGAACATAATGCTATAAAAGCCAGGACAAGACACTGTCATGAAGAAGCCAAAGGAACGGTGAAACTCAGACAGATAGAGGCGCCCTTACAAGACACTAACTCAGCATTCAGAGTTCACCAGCAGACGGAACACCAGCACACACATGCTGATACACTCATGTTAGCTTTTAGCCGCAAAACACAGAGCTCAGCATGAATTTTCAATGCACCACAAAACAGGAAGCATCTGTCAACACAAAGAAACCTTGTTGTAGTGCTGAAAATGTATGGTCAAAGTTCAAGGATCGGGGTGATGCTTTTAGTGATGTGTGGGTTTGTTTGTAACTGTTATAAGTTTTATGTTGGTAGCTTTATGATTTTGAATAGTTGTTGATCAATATGGGTTTTTCAATGAGACATTTATTAAACTTGCACATTTGATTACAACCTTGACTAGGTCTAAACAAATTGTGTACATGCAAGAGGTGGGGGTAAAATCCATTCACTGATGCATCGTCATGCTTTCCTGAACGATTCCGGATCGATCCTCCAATTCATCTGAATTTAAATGAATTATTAATAATTCTGGTTATTGAAAATGCTTGCATAGGGCAAAACATTACAGATAAGTGCCTCGCTGTGTGCAGCGCTACAAAAATGGCATAGAAGGCATATATATCTGCAGTGGCATTTATACCATGAAAAGTGTGCTTGCACTGTACAAACAAGCACACACAGGCGCATTCAACAACACACAGAATCTGCACAGAAAATCCTCTCCAGATTTCCTCTTGTTCTGTTTTTATTGGCTGATCAAAGCAGACATACTTTAACACAGTGTTTATGTGGAACCTTCACAGAATTAGCAAGAGACACCTTGACAAATATTTGTGCCTTTACGCTGTTGCTGAAGAATTGAGTTGCTGAACTGATTTATGATAGTTTTGGAAACAAATTATGACTCATTGAATTTAAATTTAACTGACTGAGTATGCTTTAAGAAGTCTTAAGTGAAGCTGAGAGTACTGCATTTTTATTGGTAGCTGAAATCTTCAAAACTTTAATATAATAAAAAAATAAACAATGCAGGGGCTTTTGGTTGGTTTTTTAAAATGTTTTTGAAAGTGGTCTCTTATGCTCACCAAACCTGCATTTTTTTTAATCAATAACAACAGGAACAATGTGAAATATTATTATAATTTAAAATTACTACGTTTTGCTTTAATATAATTTGAGATGTAATTTTAAAACAAAGCAACATTTTCAGCAGCCATTATTCCAGTCTTCAGTGCCACATGATCTTTCATCCCCTAATCATTTTAATATGATGATTTGATGTTTAAGAAACATTTATTATTATTATCAATGTTGAAAGCACTTGTGCTGCTTAATATTTTTGTGTAAGCCATGATATTTTTTTTCAGAATTTTGGATAAAGAATTATTTTAGAAATATTGTGTAATATCATAAATCTTTTGACATCTTTGCTGAATAAACATATACATTTCTTTCAAACAAGAAATCTTACTAACTCCAAACATTTGAATGGTAATGTATGCGAAGAATTTTGTGAATGACTGGTGTTTAGATTATGCAGTGTATTTGTCAGTTCTGTGGGCAGATTGATCATGGGTCTTCACATAACTTACTGGCATAGAAAGGAGGAAAAGAAAACAAGGCCTCAGCTTCCACAGAATACTTCCTCAAACTAACACCTAGTTAGTTCATGCCTTAAAAGAGAAGGGGGAGCAGAGAGAGGATGACATGATGTACAGATGGAAGTTTAACAACAGAGAAACCTCATTACATGGCAAATCAGATTGTACACCACAAAACAGCCTCCAGAAATTAGCTTTACTTGTTGATGCATAGACAGCAGGCCATTGCAAAGTTGTTTATAGAAATTAAAGTAAAATTATGTCTATAAATCTCATGCAGTGAGTTTGCTGAGCTGTGAAAGCTGTAATTTCTTACTGTTATTTGGCTTTTTATTTTACACACTGCTTATATAACAATGTTGTGGCCTTTGACCCAGACATCTTTGATTATTTTATCCATGTAGGTCACACATACTAACTCTCAAAGCCTAAGTCAAGGAATCAGTACTTCATTTGAATTCAGCTACATGTACTGAATGAACCCATTGCAGAGTATCAGAGTTTGACTGATAATGTTTAGGCCTATTAATTTTTTTGGTCTGTTTAAATCAGAATTCAGAGAGATGTTCTGTCATCACACAGATTAAAGATTACAAGCCTTTTTTGGGACATCTGTTCAGATTCAGTGAAGAAAAGAAACAAACAGTGGCTTGTCTTAAAGGGATAGTTCATCCTAATATGAAAATTGTCATGATTTATTCAACCTCATGTCATTTTAAACCTGTATAAAAGATGATATTTAAAAAAAAAAAATGTCTTGGTGTTTTTTGTCCATACAATGGAAGTCAAAGGGCTCTAGTGTTGTTTTAAACCCCAGTGAATATGGACACGAACAGAAGAAACATTCTTCAAAATATCTTCTTTTGTCCTCTACAGAAAAAAGTTGTACATGTTTAAAAAATAAGATGGTGAGGAAATGATAACATAATATTCACTCTTCCTTTGAAAACAAATGTGCATCAAGGCTTCATCTAATATGTTTTATTAGTATCGTGGGGTTGTTCAGGGTGAGCACAGTTAATCATCAGTGTGTCGCATGGCAGCACAAGTGTGTGTGGCGTTTGCCAGTGGAGTGAGTGAGTGTACGTGTGCTTGGTGTTGGCACTGTGGCATTTTCCCCACTTTGTGCCAGCGAAGGGATTTAATCAACATCCGCCACACTGGGGCAATCTGGTCATGGTGGCCGCTGTGGCTGAAATTAGATGTTTAGGCTAATGCTGGGTGTTGCCTCCCTGTCACACATCTCCTTTTTACCAGGGCCACCTGGTGGCCGTTGATCGCTAGTGTACCGTCTCTGAGCATATGTGTCCATGCTGAAGCAAGCGTTTTGCTGTGATCAGCCATCGGTATATACTCTCCCTCCACCCCACCTGCCACATTGCTGTATTGAAACCACCAAAGATGGCAGATTCGCTGATGACAGACATAACGTAGCGTGTTTGGGAGGGTTACATTCTTGCAGTAAAACGGAATGGATACAAAGCTTTGAACATTCCTCTCTCGCAGCACATTTTTTAAAGTGGAACTCATTTTCTTTCAGCAGCAAGTGGCTGGAAGTGTGCTGTGCTATCATGGTATGCTGACATTCATAATTAATGAGGCAATACAATATAATTTGAGTACTTTACTATGAGAATTTAAATCCCATTTATACAAAAATCACAGACTAGTTAGTAATATTTATGACTTGGTCATTAACGTGATTAATAGGACAGTCGAGAGCACTTTTGGGTGTGAAAATAATTCTATCTTTCATAGAGAGGATGTTGAAGCAAGAGCTTTTCCATTTCTTATGTCCTTTTTGCTTAAAAGTACAATCATAATTGGTTCAGACATGTCTATATCCCTTTTGTGCTCTCCATTCCAGTCATTTGGTTGTTTTTTTGTTTTTCAGATTGTGAAGTTAAAATGTAGACCAGAGTTCAACAGTTTTAAGGAAATTTTAAATCATTACAGGCTACGTTTAATGACATGTACTACAATATTTAATATGTTTTGTTTGTTTATTTGTCAGGATCGAAAGCTGACCAAAGCGGAGCAGCAGCGGTTTAAAGAGGAGGCTGAAATGCTGAAGGGTCTACAGCATCCCAACATTGTGCGTTTTTATGACTCCTGGGAGTCTGTTCTTAGAGGCAAGAAGTGCATTGTCCTAGTGACTGAGCTCATGACCTCAGGAACGCTCAAAACGTGTGTATTATTTACATATTTTCATTGTTATTTAATACTGAAATAAGTAATACACTTATATAAATGTGTGAAAAGTAAATATTATAGTAAATATATTTGGCCCATTCAGGCTGCTAAGATTCATACAATACATCATCATTAAGTAAGAGTGAAAACATCTTCATGAGAAACTTGTGACTGCTTTTCTCTGCTTCAGGTACCTTAAGCGCTTTAAAGTGATGAAGCCCAAGGTTCTTCGAAGCTGGTGCAGGCAAATCCTAAAGGGTCTACAGTTCCTACACACCCGTACGCCACCCATTGTGCACCGTGACCTCAAGTGTGACAATATCTTCATCACAGGCCCGACCGGATCAGTAAAGATTGGTGACCTGGGCCTTGCCACCCTCATGCGAACATCGTTTGCCAAGAGTGTCATAGGTCTGTGCCTTTCATTCAGTTTCCTGTGGGTAGTAAAAGATATTCTTGAATATGTGACTGACCTCTTCATAGCCTTTTGGTTAAATGCTTGTCCTGAATGGGGTGCAGGTCTTCCACATTGGTGGCTGTAATTATGGTGCCTGTCAAGGATCTAAGAAAAGGTCTCTTCTTGCTTCCTCAATCTCTTTAGCTCACTTAAATCGTATTGCCACACTGGAGCACAATAAAGGGCACTGCTTGCTGCTCCACATTATTGACGGCAATGTATGCACACACAAAAACATCAATACCTATTGATTTTTTTAGCACGGAAAGTTGGTACGGCAGATATTCAAATTAGTTCAAACATAAAAAAGGAAGCAGCACTTCCATTTATAACACTGTTCTTTTTAAGAAGGTAAACCAGCAGCATACTTGGGAAAATGTACACAATTATTGCAAGGTCGCTGCAAAGGTTTCATGATTTCCAAGATCTGTGAAAGCAGCAGGGTGCTGCATAGATGATGATTTCTACTTGCAGTGGCTGAAATCCATCATTAGAATTTAAGAAGTTTCGAGATCAAGCCAGAAAAAGGGACACAATTGGTTCAAGGGCTTCTTGATATATGATATACTTGTGGTTTGCAGTTGAATCTGAGGAAAATGGTTCAAACTTGTTTTGCCTTTGTGATGCGTTAAAAAAAAGTCTTGCATGTGAATGGTGCACATTTATAGGCTTCAGACTTCAAGGTCATTGTGATAATTAAAGTTGTCATAACTACTTGCACATTGATTGGCCATTGTCAGGGAGAAAAGAAGAAATGAGTTGTACAGATTTGTGTTTTTACCATAGCATCAGAAGATAAAGATGGCAGAAATGGCAGACAGATGCAAACAAGAGACAGAATGTCAAATGAATGTTGTATTGATTTCTCAGGTACTCCAGAGTTCATGGCCCCAGAGATGTATGAGGAGCACTATGACGAGTCAGTGGATGTCTATGCCTTTGGCATGTGCATGCTAGAAATGGCTACCTCGGAGTACCCATATTCAGAATGCCAAAATGCAGCACAGATCTACCGCAAAGTCACTAGTGTAAGTCTTTATATGACTCTTGTTTTGTAGATTATTATTGGGTGAATTCACTTACTTATGCTGAGCCTTTATTAAATTTCTGACACATGGTGTAGTCCAGTATACTTTCAGCAAAGTATGTACAGAGTATGGCATATTATGGTAGTCTGCTGCATACTTCACAATCTGACACTCAAAACCAGCCTGAACCTTTGGGAATTGAGCAATGCAGATTGTTTGGTAAAGATGTTTAAGCATGTGCAAATAAACTTCACTGACAGTGGGCACAATTAGTGTTAGTGAATTCACCCTTTTTATGATGGTTTTAAGTACAAAAGTTTTGTATGCAGTACTATGCACTTCAAATCAGTATGCACATAGCGTCGAGGTGCTTTGTGAATCATGTGGGGAATTAGCTAACTACATTTTCTCTTTTTGCAGGGTATCAAGCCTGCCAGTTTTGACAAAGTAAATGACCCTGAGGTAAAAGAAATCATTGAGGGCTGTATTCGCCAAAACCAACTTGAGCGGTAAGCACATAAACAGTGAAAGTTCTTCTGTAAGAGAAGCGAGAATGCAGTCATCTCAATTCTGTTTTCACCCTCAGGCTCTCAGTGAAGGACCTTCTAAATCATGCCTTCTTTGCGGAGGACACTGGTGTGCGTGTGGAGCTCGCTGAGGAAGATACAGGCTGCAAAGACTGCCTGGCCCTGCGCATCTGGGTTGAAGAGCCAAAGAAACTCAAAGGCAAGCACAAGGACAACGAGGCCATCGAGTTCAGCTACGACTTGGAGAATGATAGTGCTGAAGAAGTTGCGCTAGAGATGGTGAGAAACATATAAGAGGACAAGTATTTTAAATCTATAAAAACAGAAATAATAGAAACTATAATTTGTGCCAATTTATTGTGATTCATTTTTTAAAGGAACAGTTCACCCAAAAATGTCATTACTATAGCACTATCCTGTTTGTAAAACTGTTTTTCCCCCCAGTTTTTAATGTCATGAGACAACTATTTTTTATCAGGACAAACATTTTAGGGCTTATTTTGTAAGATGGACCCAGAGAAAAAAAAAAAAAAAACTTTTTTTTTCTTTTTTCACAAGTACATTTAATGAATATTTTAGAGAATTGTGTTTGTTTTTTTGTTTTTTAAGCTGAATTTTATTTAAATGTTTGTATTTATTATATTGTTGAATGTGTAATCTGTATGAGCTATGAAGCTGATATGGCAATAAATTTATATTCACAAACATTCAAAACAAAATGTTTACTCATCTTCATGTCATTCCAAACTGGTTTGATTTTATGGTTTAGAACATATCTGCTTTTTTCAATAAAATAAAAGTAAATGAGGACTGAAGCTGAAGCCACAAGAAACTGGAAAAAAGCAACTTGCTTTTGCATTCTTACTGAAGCGTAAAAATTCCAGTCCCCAATCATTCAAGCCAGTAGTTTATTTAAAATTCCTCTTTTTGTGTACCACAAAAGACAGTAAGTCATACATGTGTGACATGAGGGTGAGTAAATTATGACAGGATATTCATTTTTGGGTGAATTATCCCTTTAAGACATAATTTACATTCTCCCTCCCTTTTATTTTTTTTACTCATGCTCCAATTCTGTTGCTTCTTTATAGGTGAAGTCCGGCTTTTTCCATGAAAGTGATGCTAAGGTGGTGGGGAAGTCCATCAGAGACAGGGTGTCTCTGATAAAGAAGTCACGGGAACGGCGGCAACAGCAGCTTCTCCAACAGCAGCAGCAGCAACAACAACGTCTGGATGAGCGCCGTGACTCCTCGGTCCTAACCTCCTCCTTTTCTTATGTCCAGCCTTCCGGCACCACCTCCTCACAGGGCACAGGAGCTGCTGCAGCTGCTGGGGGTCAGGGAGAGGCAGAGGAGCTGCCGGAAGTGGACCAACATGTCCAACAGCAAGGCACTGCATTGGGCCTCACAGGTGCACGATTCATTTTGAATCACATTTAATGAATAGGATCTAACAAGCACTTTTAGCTAATATTTGTTCCAAAATGGTGTGTGAAAATGTTGATCCACTTTTCCATATTCAGAGGGTGAGAGTCTTCCTGCTGTCAGTGGACAAAGCCAAGCTTTTTCTGTACCTGAGACAGCGAACCAATGTGCTCATGCTCAAACCAGCTACCCCACTGGCACATCTGTAAGTACTGCTACTTCAGGAAACAATTTCATACTTTGCATGTTCACAAACTTTTTATCTTGTGCCATACATCCCCAGCTGCTGAGACACCACCATTCTTGCTCATTTGAAACCTTTGATGTTCAGTAAAAAAAAGTAATTGTTGTTTGAATGTACACTTTTGTTGGATAAGAATGGTTTCCTTTATTTAGGGAGTGAAAGGAGCAGGGGTTATGTCTCACCCCAAGCTGCTCCCTATTGGTCAGAGCGGAGGGGTTCCAAATGTGCCTGTTGGCCAGAATGGTGGGATATCTGTCATTTCCACTGGCCAAAGTGGTGGTGGGGCTCCTAACATTCCTGTGGCACAGACTTTCATTCAACCAGTTACTATGGCATCACAGGTCCCATTAAGTGTGCCTCAACAATATTCTCAGGTGACTGGCTCCCTTGTGTCCAGCTTTACTGTTTGTTTTCTTCTTCTTCTCTTGGTCCACTCTTGAATTGGACATAATTCATATCTAAAACAAATCAATCCAGGGAGACTTGGTACACTCAGTGTCAATTCTTATTTTAGTGGAATATGTTGAGTGGACTGTTGGAATATTTCATCCCTCATATTCTGTGCATTTTGTCAGTAACAATATGTAGACATGTCACTCTTATTACTGAAATACTGAATTGGATTTCCTTTCAGGAATCTCTCTGTGCAGTCTGTGACTTTGATTTAGGTCATGTGCTGAGTTACATGATGTTCACTGACCTACATTTTTAATGTTAGGTCCAGAGAACATATTTATTGTTGAATTTTACTGTAAAATCGAGTTGATTTTATAAGCTGAACCATATGAGCTGGTAATGGCTGTAAATTGTATTTATTTGCTTGAATTGTAATTATATTATATATTTTAGTACAGTTTTTTCATATAAAAATGTATGGTTATAGATAGTAATATATTTCAAAAATATAATAAAGTATACAGAAGAGTGCTAGCAACAGTATTTGAGGGCAAAGCTACAATGTTTACAGAATGGAAATAAATTTCCTGAGGCAGTGAGTTGGAAACATATCTGAATTAAGGCCTATTCACACTAGGAGCAAAACAACAAATCAAAACAATTTGACTACAAGTATAATTTGGGGTTTTCAAACTCTGTGAAAAGTTGGCATACCTGACTGAAATTGCTGCTGTCATTCAAAAACCATTGCTGCATTGCAGGGCTAATGCGTGAATAGGCTACAGCATTAGTGGTGGACTGGGTTGACCCGAACAACATATTTAATGGCTTTCATTCTTGGGATACAGCTACAGTACCTCTGATCTGATGAGGCAAATAATCAAAAAACAGCAGCATTGATCGTAGGCTGAATACAGTCTAGAAATAACCTAATGGCTCCACATGCGGAATCTTGTTTCATATCTTTTGCTTTCTATAATGTCTTGTTTCCTTTGGATGCTTAATGAACTGCACTAATGCTTACTCTTGCTCTCTCTTTTTCTCCCTCCCACCCCTACTTGCTTCCCCACACCATACTCTGGCCTATCCAATCTTCCCAAATAATATCCCAATATGTTTTCCCCACCAGCCCCTTCCACAATACTCAACAGATGTTACATCCTCGCAAATGTTACACTCCCGACCCACTGACGCCTCCACTCCCCACAGTTCTCTTGTACAGTCACAGTCATACATCACCCCTATATCACCCCAGGCACACATGACTGTCCTCACTTCCTCCATCCCGGCTGGAGAACCTATAGCATCAGCAGGCAAAATCATGCCACCTATGCAGACCCAAACTACTATTGCTTCTGTACAACCCACTGATGTTTTGCCCCAGCAAACTATTGTTCAGATGCAACAGCAGGTGATGTCAGAATTGCCCGGAACATTGCAACTGAACATCCAGCAACCCACACCACAAAAGCAGGCAAATATAATACAGCAGCACCAGACGGTGTTGTTGCCACAGCAAACGGACCATGTTCAACAAATGGTGGTTTTGTTACCACAGCATGTAGAAAAACCCCAGGTGGTTCTGCAGGAGGAGCCGCCACATTCCAGTGCTTCTCAGCAGCCATATATCCCATTGCTACAGCAGAAACAGCAAACAATGACCAACCCTCAGCAAAGTGATCTACAACAGCAAGTGTACATACAGCAACCTGCAAGCAAACCCCAACAGCAAGTTGTGATACAGCAGCATCAGGCGTCAGTACAACAACCCCCAGTGGAACAATATCATACTCAGCAACAGCAGGCACAGCAAGTTTATTTGCAACAATTGTCTGAATCACAAGAGCAGAACATGGTAAAGACATTGGTACAACAGCCGCCGGTACTTCAAACAATCCAGCAGCCATTGCAATTGACGGAGCAACAACAACAGCAACTTCTGATTAGGCAACAAATGGAGCAGCAACAGAAAGCTGTTTTGCAAAGTCAAATGGAGAAACAACATCAACAGCAAGTTTATATTCAGCCACCACAACAGCAGCAAGTTGAACAGCAACAAATTCTTCTGCAGCAACAACAAAACTTGGCGGTACAGCAACAGATTGAGCAGCAGCAACAAGCGTTACAACAACAAAAGCAAATAGAACAGCAGCAAAAGGCTATTTTACAGCAACAGGTGGAACAGCAAAGACAACAGCAACAGGCTTTGTTTCAGCAACAGCAATTGGAGCAACAACAAGCATTATTGCAGCAGCAGCAGCGTGAACAACAACAGGCTCTTCTGCAGCAACAACAATTGGAACAGCAAGCTTTGCTACAACAACAGCAGCAACTCCAGTTAAAGCAGCAACAAGCTCTTTTACATCAGCAACAGTTAGAGCAACAGCAGCAGGCTTTGTTTAAACAGCAGCAGCAACAACAACAGTTGGAGCAACAGCAAGCTCTTTTACAACAGCAGCAGCAACAAGCGCTCATTCAGCAGCAGCAACAGTTAGAGCAAAAAGTACTGCAGCTGCAACAGCAGCAACAAATCGAACAGCAACAAACTTTATTAAGCCAGCAGCAGCAGTCTCAGCAGATAGAGCAACATGTTCTTCAGCAACAGCTGCAAGTACAGAAGCCAACAGATCAACAATTGCAACAGCAGATATTTCAACAACAGACAGAACAGCAACAACAGACATTGCTACAACAAAGAGAGTCACAGATGCAGCAACACCTCCTGATGCAACAACACCAGATTGAATTACAGCGACAACTATCCGAAAAACAACTGCAACAAGTTTTATTACAGCAACAACATTTGGAGCAACGTGCTCCTCTGGCAGATCACAGCGGACAACAGCAAGCAACAATGGTAAAAGCACAGCCTCCGGAGACGATTAGTCAAATCCAGCACTCTCAACAAATGATTCCCCCACAACCTCAGCCTCATCATACTCAACAACAAACTGAGCAGCAGCATGTCTTGATTCAGCAGCAACAAGCTGTCCTTCCCCAGGCATCACACAGACCATCTCTGGTAGAGTTACAAGTTCCAAGCCTGGTTCAAGCACTACCAAAAATGGTTAGTGCTCAAATACCTAGTCAAATACCGGCCCCGGTACTCATCCAGCAACAGGTACCACCACAGATGTCAGCTCAAACTTCAGCGCAAGTTCAGATCCAAAGTCAAGGGGAGCCTGCGATTTATTGTCAGATTCCCTTACAGACTCAAAGTCATCCTGCACCGCAGTCAATGGGAGGCAATATTCAAGCAGGCCAGCTGCAAGTTCCACAACCAACCCAACAAATCACATCACCAACACAAGTTCCTACACCACAACCCATTCATTCCTTTATATCGAATTCAACACAAATGGTCTCACAAGGACAAACACTTCCATCCCAATCTCAGTTGGTACCACCTCAAGCTGCAGCTTCTCTCCAGTGTCAAGTTGCAGTAGGGTCAACTACTCCTGCGCCTCTTGTGCATGCTGCAGTCCCAGCTGCTTCTACACTTCTACCCACACAATATGCTCAAGCACCTGTCGCTTCGCAAACCATCCAGTCTGTTCAGCTAGACCTCACACAATCTGTGAAACAACAACAACAGCCACCTCTGCAACAATATCAGCAAGCAGTACTGTCTCATATGTCACTCACACCTACCATCAACCCAATGGCCACTTCATCCACACATTGCTTTTTACAACAGACAAACCAATCTCAAATGCAGGCCCAGGCTCCGCCAGTTATCCAAGCTCAGCAGCAACCAGTTAGTGTGGCCTCGATGCAGACAGTCTTGCAGCCCATGCCTCTGGTACAACCTCAGGCTGCCCAACTGTATGAGCAGCAACTGCCTCAAGACCACCATGTGCAGCAACAGCAACCCCTGCACCATCAGCATCAGGCCCAACCCGTGCAGCAGCTTCTGCCACCGAATGCTGTCCTACCACAAGATCTCCACCAACAACCTAGTCAGCCTCAACCAGTACTCCAACATATGATCCCGATTCACATTGAACCCAGTCAGGTACCTCAGACCCAAGCTAGAACTGTACCTTTGTACAGTCATGTGGTCTCAGGTCCACCAGCCTCCCCACAGAACCAGCAGAAACCAACCCTTCCCGCTCAAGCACGCACACAGACTAGCATGCAGTCACAAGCACACTCAAACGCACAGGCACATACCCACATAGAAGCTACTGGGAGTTTCGAGCAGCCTCCTTACTCCCAAACTGCCTTTATTCCATCACAGATCCCCCCAAGTCCATCTCATACTTCCCTACAGCTGTCTGCCACACTCCCAGCCCTACAACCATCTGTCCCAGTTTCAGAAATTCCCGTTACAGTAGAAGCACAGCAAAACCAGGCAACGTCTGCTGATATGATCCCTGCTTCCCCTCCTACTGTCAGTGCTTCACAGTCCCATGAATCTGTGTTGCCCCCCACCTCGCTGGCAGAAAGTGACGCTGCATTGCTGGGCATTGCTCAGGTACAAAAGCACCTTGAATTAGTTTCAGATATACAGTGTTGCACGATAGCAGTGAAAATTTTTTAACCAGCGAATATGGCAATATATAAAAGTGATTCTGCAGAACATGTTAATAAGGGTAGAAGGCATACAAACATCTATCTCTTCTAACTCTGTTAACTTGAGATGCAAGACCCACTACTTTTTAAACACTTTTTAACACCTGCAAAACCAAAGTTAAACTTAAATCAAACTTACAATTTTATCTTTTCAATTTAGGACAGTTTTGTTTTTGGTTTGCACTTACTTTGCTATTTTACGTACGGATTTTTTTTGTTTTGTTATTTTATTACTATTTGTACAACTCATTACGTAACTGATATTTTGTATTTTGTTTTTCTGTTGGTATGTGGCTGTTCTTGTGTATTTGTTTGTTTGTCTTTCCTCTGGCTTAACAGGAGAGCCTAAATCAGTCTGCCAATAGGGGCTCTTCATCAGGGTAAGCATTTATATGTATTCTTATTTGATTTTTTTGTAATACATTTAACAGTGTGATCTGTGATTTGATTTTAAATATTTTATAAATCTAGCTCTGCTCCTGCCAAAGGAGATGAGGCCCAATCACAGTGGGCCAGTGGAAAACAAGATAAGGTAAAATCTCAGAGGAGATCATCCTGTCAAAAAGCTGAAAAAACTCATTTTCAACTCAGCATGTTGCAGGTATGTAAATCACAATATTTGTAATATTTTCTGCACTTCACTTTTTATGTAAATATAAATTGAATCATATTATAAACACTCTCTGTGTTGTAGGTCTCAGGCACAGGGGACAACATGGTAGAGTGTCAGTTGGAGACTCACAGCAACAAGATGGTCACATTCAAGTTTGACATTGAAGGAGATGCACCAGAGGACATTGCAGATTATATGGTGAAATACGTTCAGCAGCTAGAATGATTCATTTGCTTTTTGAGAAACATATTAAGAGAATTTCTGATAGCTGATCCTGACCTGTGGCTTTTGCTATAGAAGTATGTCTACACCAGTAAATGTCTTAACAACGTGTTTTGTGTAGGTGGAGGAGGACTTTGTCCTTGAGCCTGAAAAAGATAAATTTGTTGAGGAGTTGAGAGCTACAGTGAAGAAAGCTCAAGGAATACTAAGCACTCACTCACAGGTCTGTCATTCACAACGGTATTGTTGTTAAAAAAAAAATTTAAAGTATTAATTTCTTTAAAAAAGACTGACCCCAGCATTTGAATGGAAGTGTATGTTTGGTTTATTTATAATTTTAAATTTGTATTTGTCTCAGACTGGATCCTTGGAGCAACTCCATGTGAGCACCCCATCCAGTGCAACAAGTGAGTTACACTGTAATCAGTCTGATCTTCTCACAAATAAAACAGAAGAATAAAGTTGGGAAGGGGTGAAGTTGCATTAACTTTATAACTTCGGTATCTTTTTATCTTGATTAAAAAAAAATATTTATATCAACTAAGACTTTTTAATTTTACACTATTGTTACAATTAATAGTAAAATAAATAATTATGTGCTATTTTCCGAAGTGGATTCAGCCCCTCAGTCTTCCCCAGTGGGTCGCTGGCGATTCTTCATTAACCAAACCATTCGCCATCGTGACTCGCACTCCAACCAGGGAGCTTCCACTCCCCCTCCAGTGGGAGAGACCCGAGTTCCCAAGTCCACAGAAACAGAGAAAGGTAGAAATGACACACCTGGAGTGACATTTGTAATTTAAATGATCCAAACTTTAATGAATTGAGAACATTTCTACTGTTAGATTTCTATTAAAATAGAGATATAGTGATGATAATTAATAAGAATATTGTTAATTGTCTTGACAACTGTTGAATATTCTACTGTCTAATGTATTATCAGATCATGATAGCCCTCAGCGCTCAGAGTCTTTTGCTGGGATAGCATCTTCCCCAAGTTCTTCACTGTCTGCATCCTCTCCTCCAGTCTCTACTGTATCAGCACCTGCATCCATGTCAGCCTCAGCCATTACTGCCCAAAAAGATGTAACACCGGCTGCCTTGCCAACAGCAGAGCAAGTCTCCTCTGCTACCCTGCCTGCAGGCCCAATCCCTGTCATGGCTTCCAGCACCTCTGCTGCTCCTTTCCCTGCAGTCGCAGCCCTCATTGGCTCCAGCATTGACCAAGGAAAAGCTGCAGTTAAAGGTGAGGCTGAACAGCCCCTCTCTACCTTATCTACTTATGGGACCCCTCCAGAATCGCTGGTGACTCACGCTGATACTTCACAGCAACTTCTAGCACAAACCCCAATGGCACCTTTGCAGACAACAGATGTACTTCAACAAACCCAGACACTACAGTCAGCAATGGCCACCACTGAACAAGCTCAGAAACAGCAGATTATGCCTCAGCCAGTGCGCCAGGTCGCTCCTCACCCACCTACACACCAGTCTAGTGAGTCAAAAACACTATCACAGCCAATGCCAATGGAGACCATACCTTTTCAGAGAGCTCTTCAGCAGGTTCCTCACCAACAAGTACCAGTTGAATCTCAACAGCCAGCAATGCAACAGACTGCTCTCTTGCCGCAACATAGCCTTCAAACAGCCACTGCTGAGCAAATCCAACAGCACAAGGTAGATCAGTATGTGTCTCAAGAAACCACAGCGATACTGACCATGCATCCACAGCATGGCCTCCAGACCCAGGATTCCCAACAGCTTCGATCTGCATTTCAACCTGTGATCCCGCAGCAGCTTCCCAGTGAGCAAACCCAGATGTTACTTCAGCAGGTATCGCAAGATATGGTGCCTATGACACAAACCGCAGTGCCTCCGGCTGTGCAGAAGCAGGTGTCTATCCAGCAGTCGGAGTCTGAGCTGTCCACGGGGGAAGACACCGTCAGCTACTCCGCCCCACCCCATCCCTTTTCGGACACCTCTCTCCCACCCCTGCCGCTCTCTGAAACTGCTCTTCCTGCCCTCTCCCACACTTTCACACCCTCTCCAGCTCAGCCCTCCTCGGTAGCTGAGTCAGACAGCGAAGGCCCACCCAAAATCGAATTTGTGGACAACCGGATCAAGACATTGGACGAGAAGCTGAGGACTCTTCTGTATCAGGAATACAGTGGTAGTGGGGCAGCACTGGGAAGTGGCTCCACCAGTGGCTCTGCTCCTGCCCCCAGCTCCACCTCGGGATCTGCTGCGGCCTCCACCGCAGTTGACGAGATTTCAGAGCCCCCCAACACTTTCTCCGTTCCTCCTGCAACTTCCTCAGACACCTCCCCTCACTCCACCTCTTCCACCACCTCCTCCACCACCCCTCGCTCTTCCTCTACTTCTCCGGATGGAGAGCGGGAGAGAGCAGGTGAAGAGGAGACGATCCCGTCTGCTGTGCAACACCAGCCGGCTTCATCCTTCTCCTCTACATCCCCTCCATGCTCTCTCGTTTCCCCTCCACAGGAGTCTGGATCCCCGAAAGTGCCCAATGAATCAACTGTAAGTGTAAGTAGGGTGTGTTTATCTCACAAAACAGATGAACATGATGCTTTTTTTTTGTCCCAGTCTATTTTATTCAAAAATCCATTAAAATGCAGTTCATACATACACCTCTTCTATGATGAACATGTTTTTTTAATTTTTGTATTAAAATTCATTTCGTTTTTCTTTTTGAGCAGGGGATAAAGTAGCAAATGTCAGGGTAATACAAAAAAAAAAGCAAATTAAAATAATGAAGTTTGTAAAAAAAAAATATATATATATATATATTAATATTTCCTACAAAAAAAGAAACTATTTAAAGGGGTCATCAGATGCCCATTTTCCACAAGTTGATACGATTCTTTAGGGTCTTAATGAAAAGTCTATAACTTACTTTAGTTAAAATTTCTCAATGGGAGGGTAAAACAACACCCTTTTAACCTGTCAAAAACAGCTCTGTTCATAGCAACTCATTTTGTTGCATGTCTCTTTAAATGATAATGAGCTCTGCTCACCCCGCCCCTCTCTTGCTAACTAGCACATTATTAGGAAAGGCAATTTACAAAGATTCATAAAAAACTTTATACTCACTTCTTCTGTAGATGAGGCTGGATCACGAATGATAGATGCATTTAGGTAGATCGGAGGCATTCCCTTTAAAAACAAACTTTTTTTAAAATAATACACTGGGCGTCTTCTGCAGCTCAGATGTCGGGAGTAAATGACGACTGCTATTTTCATTATTACATCCAACAACAAAGCACCTCAATCTCTTAGGAGACATTCTTGTCTACATCTGCTTCAGCGTCGAAACAATGGTGAACTGATGACAGCTCACTCAGGGTGGGTCTAAGGTAAAACGCTAGTGTCACACAGCCAAGAATCTGAGAATGGCTTGATTTGAGAAAGGGGTCAAGATTTATGTGAATTAAAAAAAAAACACCGGGTGGATTTTTATCATTATAGGGTGGATGTGTACACACTGCCAACACACATTTATGTTCAAACAACATGTAAAAGTGAATTTTGCATCCGTTGACCCCTTAAAATTTTTCTTAAATGGTATAGACGTTAAACAGTACGATACATTTCTAAAATTATGGTGTAATTTATTTCAGATTCGTTTCAGCCATTTCATGCACTTCTTAAATTTGTTTCCCTCCTCTTGTTCATGTGTGGTGTCCAGGCTCCCCCTTTCCTCACTGAAAGCTCCACCCCTGGAGATGTTCTCTTGCCTTCCTCTTCTCAGCCGCCTGTCCCCCTGTGGCCTGGACAACAGCAGCCTCAGCACAATGAAGGAGGTGGATATTTTGGCCTAAACCTGACATGTCCTAGTATCAGAAATCCTGTTAGCAAGAAATCCTGGACTCGCAAATTCAAAAGCTGGGCGTGCAAACTGCGCCACTCCACCAGCTTGTTCAAGAAGCCCAGAGTCCAGCAAGGTAGTGTCCGCAGGAAGCGCGCAAGAGTGAGCGAGTGAGGGGTGTGGGTGGGCACTGACCTAAAACAAATGTTTATGTAGCCAAATGAATGTAGCTGACTCTTACCTTGCTAGATAGGGATTTCTTAATTTGTAATAATACTGTTAGAATTAATAATTAATTATTAATCCTAATAGTTCTTCCGTGGTGACGTGGTTGTTGCTGTGTTTAGTCTGTACTGAAATCATTACATCACCTAGCCATACATTTTTCTTGCTTTAGTTTTTGTTTAAACTGAATTGCTCTGCTGTACATTAACGTTTATGTTGTAGCCTCCTTTTTGTTTTGTCTGCATGGGTTACCCAGGGGTAAGAACAGAGGAGTGTAGAAAGGGGAGAGAACCTAAGAGGGATGACCCTTGTGCGTCGCACCTGGATCTGAATCTCCTGTCCCACCGTATGCAGTGCAGTATTGCGGTGCCTGCGCCCCTCACCTTCCTGCACCCTGCCTCACTCACCCAGAGCACCTGCAATCGCAAAATAGCACACTTGTTTACAAGCAACATGGGCCAGAGTCTGAAGTTTGCACCTGTTTATTTGTTATTTGTTTAGTAATTGAAGAGGCGTGAAACTATTGTTCATCGTGCCCATTTCTGTCTATTCAAAAATAACAGCTGCAAACTTTTATTTTAATGTAAAAAAAATTGATCGGGCCACATGACATTTTAGAATTTATATTTGAATGCACCATTAATACTGAAGCTTTAGCAAGCAAGTCATTACAATGTATATCGAACAGCTATTTTTCAGATGTTAGCCATGCATTTTTCATATGAACAATTTTTATTTTCTCCCAGAGCTTTAGATTATATCCTGTTCTTTCCTACCTGGGTAGATTTTTGGAAGGTTTTATTTTCTATATTTTCTTTGCATGTCCATGGGTATGTTTGGAATGGAGTACTAGCATACTGCTGTCCTTGCCGTTTTTGTTTAAAAAGTAGTATGTGAAACAGTACACAGTATACTCTGATACGTTTGAAAACTTTTCACAATTGTTACATGTTGCTCTACCATTCTAAAGTGTGGGGTCCGTAAGACTTATTTATTTATTTATTTTTAATAAATTAATACTTTTTCAGCAAGGAATTAATGTGGTGTATATAAATGTTACATGTGGTCAATGCATTAAATTGATCAAAAGTGACAGTAAAGACATTACCAAATATTTATATTTCAAAGAAATGCTGTTCATCATGGAACCCTAATAAAAATGTTGTATAAATATGAATGTTATACAATGTATAATTATGTTAGATATAATTTTTATATTTTCTTAATTAAGGATAAATTTTTCTTGAACATTAAATCAGTGTAGTAGAATACGGAATGATTTCTGAAGGATAATGTGACAATGTAGACTGGAGTAATGACTGCTGAAATTTACTTCCAACGTGACTTGAATGCACCAAAACATAAGTCTTTATTTTTTCCCTGATATGATATTTCAAATAGTGTTTTCATAGCTATTGGAGTTTACACTTATTTAGTCTTTTGTTATATGTACTGTATAGTGTTAATCATTTATACTGTGTGAAGGAGCAACTGTTCCCGTTTTCTTTTCTCATAGGTGATTCCAGTGTCCCAGGCCGCAGATTCCCTTGCAACACAGGATGCTGCACCAAGCCAAGGGATCACACAAAGAAAAGTTGGGCGTTTCTCAATCACCCAGGCCGAACAGAGAGAGGAACATTTGACCGACAGCTCCCCCGTGTCACCTGACCTCAAGCGAGAGAGGAGAAAATCTAAAGCAAAAGATGGCGAGAAAGACGAGAAGAGAACTACAGCGCCCAGTCACCTGCCCAGGAGCCACGCACACTCGACCCTGGGCAGCAGCGATGATGAGAGCGAGGTGGAGGATGAAGATTTGAAGACAGAACTCCACAAGCTGAGAGAGAAGTGAGAGAATTTGAATTCTGCAATATTGTTTTTCTTTTCCTCTCTTTCCGTACTGATGCTTCCTCTCTTTTATCTTTGTAGACACATCAAAGAGGTGGTGTCCCTGCAGGCACAACAGAACAGAGAGCTGCAGGATTTGTACAGGTCTCTTAAAGACCACAGGCAACCTCTGTCCATGATGCTGCCCCGGACCTCTCCTCTGCCCACCGCACCCCTCGCCATCTCCCCGCGCAGACCCCGACCCGCCAAAGCCAAGCTTCGGCCCCGACCCCACTCTCACATGGATAACAACGGAGTCACACACAAAGGTACTAGTACCACCATATTAGAGGGAGAGTTAGATTAAGGCTGTTTGTTTTGTTGTTGTTGTAACTAGAATTCACTTGTACCATTTTTCTCTTGATTTTTAAAACACTCAGGGAGTCTTCAGCAGTCTAGCAGTTATTCTGGTGGAGAGCAAAACAGGCTTCACTCATACTGCAAGCCAGAGAAATCCCCATCGCTGACCGCTAATAGAGGTACTAAACATGCTCACTACTAGGGTTGGGAATCGAAAATCGATTCCGATTCCAGAATTGGATACTTAAGGTCAGGAATCGCATACTTATTGTCAAATTAAAATTTCGATTCCGCCTATCGATTCCTATGCGCTTTTTTTTTTCTTCTTCTTCATCTGTGAAGACCGGACCTAGCGATCTGCCAGGAACTTGCTCGCTAATCAAAGCGCTCCAAAGTTTGGCTACATTTGCGATCAGAAGCCAAAAAAGCTAAGTATAATATCTGTGATAGCTAAACATGTTGCAAGAGAGGTGTCACCACCAACATGACTAAGCACTTTAATTTAATAGATCGTTAAAGGTCGCGATTCTAACACCAGCATGATTCTATTGCTAAATTACAATGATTCGTCTGTTTCATTCCTCCACCTTTGACGTGTGCGATCAATGTTGTGATCACTTGTTGGTTTGTCCGTGCAGAGTACGATCACACCAGTGTGATTTGAGCATTTAAACTGTTGATTTTTGTTCATGGTAGGCCTATTCAGCTCCAATAAATGGTTTGCAAAAGAGAGAGACACAGGATAAATGTTTGATATCATTATTTAATCACATTGGAATCGAAACTGGGAATCGAAAAGAATCAGAATCAATAAGCAGAATCGGAATTGATCAAATTCAAACGATACCCAACCCTACTCACTACTGTTCAAAATTTTGGGATCAGTAAATGCATCCTTGCTGAATAAAAGTATTAATTTCTTCTTTTCTTTTTTTTTTTACTTTATTTTGCAATGCGTTAAATTGACCAAAAATGTCAGTAAAGACATTTGTAATGTTACAATATATATATATACTGTGTGTGTGTGTATGTATTTATATATATATATATATATATATATATATATATAAAATATGGATAAATAAATTCAACCTAAATGTAAATTCAATTTCAAACTTTCTATTTATTAAAGAATCCTGGAAAAAAAATATCACAGTTTCCACAAATATATTAAGCAACACAATTGTTTCTTGAGCACCAAATCATCATATCAGAATTATTTCTGAAGGATCATGTGACATTAAAGACTTTACTGACTGTTGAAAATATTCAGCTTTGCCATCACAGGAATAAATTCCATTTCAAAATATATTAAAATAGAAAAATGTATTTTAAATTGTAATAATATTTCTTGGTGTATTTTGATCAAATAAATGCAGCCTTGGTAAGCATTAGAGACTTCTTTCGAAAAAAAGCATAAGAGACTTCATTCACAAACTTATAGCTCCTAAACTTTTGAACAATAATTTAATAGCTGAGAATTGATCTGAAGTATGGCATTTTTATTTAACAGTTCCCTCATTTTGTTTTCAGACCAGAGTCCTTCAGCCCAGGGTTCTGCCAATAGAAAGAGCACATTCACTGATGAGCTGCATAAGCTTGTTGATGAGTGGTCAAAAGAAACGGTTTGTCCTGTTCAGGCCAAGCCTTCACTGAATCAAATCAAACAGATCCAACAAGTGCAGGAGTTGGGCGGTTGGGGCCAGACTACTGAGGTAAAGCATACATGAAATAAATGTATCAAACATGCATATGTAGACTAGTGTGTATGGGTTAAAATATTATCTGTTATATACAGTGTTGTTCAAAAGTTACTGTGTGAAATTTTACGGTCTAAAAAAAGTCCATTGTCCATTGTTAAATTTAGTGATTCATGAAGCACAGCTCACGAAGAAGTCACTTTCAAACCAACCATCATTGAATTTGTTACCAAATTTAACCCGTTGTGAAATCAGGTTGCATGGATTTCTATTGAAATTAATGCAGTTTACCCATGAAAATTTGTTGAACAATAGTAATCATTACTGCACCTTACGACCACTAGTGAAAAGTGCTTGTATTTTGCTTTTTTTCTAACTGAATGCTTTTTTTTTGTCATTACAAGTTATGCAGCGTGATGTAAACTGTGTGCTTAGACTCACAGGGCGATCCTCTCGCTACATTAAAAAGTTCATAACAGTATGAAAGTACATAACTCTGAAAAATATTGTCAAAACTCCCAGAATCCCTTGAGCCTCAATCAAGCTTCCCATCAATGTACTATTTCTAATCCATTGAGACTCATTTAAACTCATCTATCTATAGATATTTTTTTATATATTGTCAAGATGAAAAGTCAAGATGGCGCCGATGATGATGGCGGCCTCCGTGGCGTGCTCTGCAGTTGTTTTTGTGTTTTTATTAGTTTGTCCTGTCTTTAGTTATATCCCTGCAATCAGTTTCACCAGAGAAGAAATGCTGGACATCCGGCACTACACATCACCCGATATATTACCGGTTTTCGACTATTCTGATGTTTTGCTGGACATAGTAGTTGGCGGAGCAGCTGCGCTGATCGGGCAGCTGCACAGGACGAGCAGATGGGGGAAGCGAGCCGGCGTGCTCATGAAGCTCAGGCAGCGTGGATTTCGAACGCCGTTCCCTAGCATCCATCTGGCAAACCTCCGCTCTCTACCCAACAAAATGGACAAACTCCTTCTGCTCTCCCGGACAAATAAGGATTTCTCACACTCTGCTGTTCTGTGTTTCACGGAAACCTGGCTGAATGACGCCATACAGGACAGCGCGTTAAATCTGCCGGGCTTTCAGCTGTTCAGAGTGGACCACAACGCAGAATCAACAGGGAAATCGCGCGGCAGCGGGACATGCCTTTACATCAACGAAAGGTGGTGTACAGATGTAACCGTGTTAAAGAAGATATGCTGTTCAAACTGTCTATTGTAATATACCTGCACATACAATTGTCAATTTATATATTGTTACTATTGTTACTATCTATTTATTTATTTATTTATTTTTTATTATCTGTTTTTGTTCTGTCACTGTCATTCTGTTGCACTGTGGAGCTTCTGTCATGAAAACAAATTCCTCGTATGTGAAAACATACCTGGCAATAAAGCTCATTCTGATTCTGATCTATCTATCTATCTATCTATCTGTCTATCTGTCTGTCTGTCTGTTTTTATAGCAACACTCTAACAACTAGCCCAAGCAACCACCCTCAGTATCCTAGCAACCACATAGCAGCACCCTAGCAACCACTCTGGGTAGCCTAGCAACCACATGGCAACATCCTATCAACCACCCCAAGTACCCTAGCAACTGCATAGCAACACCCTAGCAACCACACCGGGCACCTTAGCAACCGCATAGCAACACCTTAGCAACCACCCAGAGAACCCTAGCAACTGCATAGCAACACCCTAGCAACCACCATTGGCACATAGCAACACCCTAGCACTCGGGGGGGGGGAAAGGTACAAAAGCTGTCACTAGAGTGGTACCTTTTCAAAAGATACACCTTTGTACCTAAATAAATAGTCCATATTGGTACCTTAAAGGAACATATTAGTACCTCAAGTGTACATATTAGTACCTAAACCCCTCAAAAGTGTACCCTTTGAAAAGGTACCGCCGTAGTGACAGTTTTTGTATCCTTTTTTTTCTGAGTGTATTAACTGGTATTTGTTATAATAAAAATTGTAAATAAGTAAATAATAATAATTGTAATAAGTAAAGAATGTTTGTATCTTGCAGACAACAACTTCATCGGGTTGGTTGCAACCACCCAGAGAACCCTAGCAACTGCATAGCAACACCCTAGCAACCACCATTGGCACATAGCAACACCCTAGCACTCGGGGGGGGGGAAAGGTACAAAAGCTGTCACTAGAGTGGTACCTTTTCAAAAGATACACCTTTGTACCTAAATAAATAGTCCATATTGGTACCTTAAAGGAACATATTAGTACCTCAAGTGTACATATTAGTACCTAAACCCCTCAAAAGTGTACCCTTTGAAAAGGTACCGCCGTAGTGACAGCTTTTGTATCCTTTTTTTTCTGAGTGTATTAACTGGTATTTGTTATAATAAAAATTGTAAATAAGTAAATAATAATAATAATAATTGTAATAAGTAAAGAATGTTTGTATCTTGCAGACAACAACTTCATCGGGTTGGTTTTCCGGAGCCCCTTTGACCGCTCCAGTATCAGTCAGCATGTCTACAGTGGCGCCCACCTCATATAGTACCATCGGGGGACAAACTCAGCCGCCTCCGACGCAATTTCCCATCGCTCCTCTGTCCCAGCAGAACGCTCATCTGCACCGCCAGCCCCAGCAGTACAGCCCGTCTCCCCTGCACCCGCAGCAGGTCCAGCTCCTGTCAGGACCCCAGTCCTCGGTGTCCGGTGCGCCTTCCCTCATTACCCCGGCGGGGCCTCTGCTGCCCCCCGCCACCAGCATCACAGCCGCCTCGGCTCCCGCCGCCAATCAAGACGCCGTCTTCTGCTCGTGCTCCTCCTCGTCGAGCTCCTCTTCCTCCTGCTCCACCTCCACTCTGCCTCCCAGTGCCAAACTTCACCCCAAACTCTCCACATCCACCCTTCCTTTAGGACAGCAGTGAGGTGGAGAATACCGTTGTACATCTTGTACAGGAAGGACACTAGTAGCAAGCGGTTGCGTGTTGGTGTGTGTGGGTATGGGGGTGTATAAATACTGTAGTGTGTGTATTTGTGTGAGCGTGTGTTTGTGTTGCATTTTTCAATACATATCCTGTGTGTTTCTGCACCGTCAAGTTTTCTATCCGACTTACTTGGACCTGAACTCACCCTATATAGAGACATTTTTGACATGAGATATGATCCTCTTTGTTTTTATTTATCAGTGCTTCAAACTAAAGGACTATTTGATTTTTAAAAAGTGCAATTAGTAACTGATATTTAAATTCATCTTTTCTGTGTTGTTGTGACGTGGATCTGTATAGCTTAAAATAAATATTTTTTATATATACGCACAGAAACGACAATGACAACCCGACGTCAGCAGTGAAGCGCCATCTTTGTAGAGCACAACGGATTCAGCCGGCGGCGGGATCGATCGCATGTTTCAGCGCAGAGCATGGTAACCTTGCAACCTTCATCGTAGTTACGAAAACAATCATTGTGCACGGATAAGGCATGCTCCTCATGTATTATATTTTACGATGATAAATAGCGGTAGCGTTTTAGATTTAGCCAAGATTTTTTCTAGAATAACATAAATAGCCATTGACTAATTCCTTTTAAGATGCTGCAATTGATTCTAAGAGGGGAAAAAACACCAGTTCATTTGGTTTCAAATGAAACTAGCTAATATGATTGCAGTATTTTCCTCTCTGTTTTAGCAGACGGTCATACTTTTTAAGGTTTACACTATTAACATTAATCCCATGGTGAAGTGTGCAAGACTAGACAGCTGTTTGGAAAGCTCAAGTGAAGTGAATGCAGCTTGTTCTTGTTCTTGTGTGTTTTTGCGCAGTCCCGTATGAACGTGCTTCCATGCACACCGATCTGTGAACTGTGAGTTTGCTTTTAGTGAATGCAGTGCATCAGCAAAACAAAAGATGTATTCCTCATTGAATCTAACTTTTCATCAGATACTACTCTGGTGGAAAATTACATATACATAGACATAACTGCCAAGCAAGTTTGGGAGAAAATCCAGAAATAGGTTGCCTTTCTACAGTGTATTTTTCTTGATCATAAAGCTTTTATGTGATTCAGCTAGACCAAGATGTCAGAGCCCAGTCTTTAAATCAGCAGCTACGCAACTCCGTTGTACTGCCGGACTACTGAGATTTATAAAACGGTTGTCAGAATGCATTCTCCATAAGTCTGCAATGCCCATATACAGAAACCTGACTGTGTTCTTTAATGTTTTGTTGGAAAAAGTAACAGAAGGTTGGTACAAATGAGGCAACCTGCATTTTTCAAGAAGTAGGTGAGAGATAGACAGGGTGGAATGTATTGTGCACAGGGAATGAGGAACCGGTTTGTGTTGTGAAGCTTTTTAAATTGTGCTAATGCTTGAACTTGTGGATGTTACAAAAAGAGGTCAACATGACTGCTGCCTACAGAGGGTTGCGATCATTCAGTTTCCAGTATTTTATGTCACTTTTCTAAAGACAAGACCCACCTCTTCACAGTAAACCAACAGTACTGCAGTGGTGAGTATAAAGGCTGTTGTGTCGAAGAAAACTCCAAACATTATCCATTTGATCTGTACAAATGGGAAATGTAAAGATAACCCTCTGCTGAAGTGTTACCAAAATGTAATCTAAAAAGAAAGCATTATTTTTGTATTTTGAAAGGGGTTGTAAAAATGTAAAATTGTGTACTGATCAGTGTTGAGAAAGCTGTGGTTATCTGATAAGACACAGGTCCTAAGACGGTTTCTCGAGTTCACCTGGCTTCCAACTTTACCCCAAACATTTGTTCAAAGATTACAACATGATATAATATTTTGATTTTTAGAGGGGTTTTGATTCAAAGCGAGTGATTGGAAATGTTAAAAGCTGAATCATTTCTACAGTGGAGGTATAAGTGTGGGTGAAGTTGTACAGTAAAACCAGGGGGACCCCAGAATTACTTGACTGACCACCAATAATTAAAGGTTATTTAAGTGAAAATAATCTATAGAGGACTAAACTTATTGCTGGTGATTTAGCTACTGTAAATCGTAACTAATTCAACTGTTGATTCTATTTATGTTTTGTAACTAATCAAAAATAAACATCAAATGTTAAACATCAGTGTTATGGGTTTTTCTTGTCACCTTCAAATGCACATAAAACATTGTCTCTGTTTTAATTAAAACTGCAGTAAAGACAGTTATATTGTAAAATATTCCAACTGTTTTCTTTTTTTGTGTGTGAAAATATCAGCATCATCACTCCAGTCTTCAGTGTCACATGATTCTTCAGAAATCAGTCTAATATGCAGATTTGCTGCTAAAGGTATCAATATTGCAAAAGGTTGTGCTGCTTAATATTTAACACGCCGTTATACATTTTTTCAAGACCCTTTGATGAACAGAAAAAATAGAATGTCTGTACTGTCACTTTTAATCACTTTTGCTAAATAAAGTATTAATTTCTTAACAAATCTTACCGACTGGCCCCAAATTTTTGAGATGGTCCTCACTGCAGAAGATCCAGGGGGCGTGGTTGGATCAGATCCAACTCCTCCCACCTTACATATACCTAAACCTACCTGTCTCCACCCCCTGATCCCTAAACCCACCCTTCTCCACCCCTAAACCTACCAATCTACACCCCCTAGATGTGGATCCAACCACGCCCCCTGGATCTTGTGTTCTGCAGTGAGGGGCTACTGACATTTTTGAACCGTAGTTTATTTGCTCATAACATTTGTCACTTAGTAGCAGTAGCACGGTTTCAAACTGTAATAACAGTGCCTGTAATACTCCGTGATACCAGTAGAGGTCTCAAAAGTGTCTTCCTGACATTCTAAACGCTCTTTACTGTATAAAATCACAAGAATACAAGAACAGTTCAACAGATTATTTAGGCCATCGATTCAGAGACAAAAAGTACATGTCCAGCTGTTTTTGAAATAAGAAACATTTTAGCCAGAATTCTAGAAAGCTGAAAATGTTGAGCAGCATAAAACCAGATTTTCCTGTCAGCTAAGAAAACTACGAATTATCCAGTAGCTGTCATCATAACTGTAAATTCATATATAATGAAGCGTGATCTTAAGCGTTTGCTGTTCTCTCAGATGTGAGTGTTTAGCACTGTACAGTGGACGGTCTGTTGAGATCAGGCATGTTCTGCTGCGGGTTCAGAAGTCGCCAAACCCCTCGACAATGTGCCTATTGTGATAGCTCGGTCTATATGCATCAATAGCGGGATTAAGCAGTCGACATGGCACGAGTACAATAATGCTCTTCACTGTGAACAAGAAACCCATGCAAGACCCTCTGCGGATGACGACCCGCTCATAAAACTCTGAGGGACTCTGACCAGAGGCTGACTGGCGTTTCTGTGTGATACCTGTAGAATTATGTATAGACTATCTTCTCTTTTAATTTTAAATCATTCTGCATTTATATACATCGCTCCATTAAAACCTCAACATGTCGTAAACACAACTCTCCAATAAAAAAGTGGGGGGGACGAATTTACTTTTTATAAAAAGTGGGGGGGACATGTCCCCCGCGTCCCCCGCGTAATCTACGCCCCTGTCCTGAAGGAAGCTATTAAGTGGGCATGCAAATGAGTGATTCCTCGAGTTGGGAGAGGAACGTTTCTGTTCCCTAGAACAGAATTACTTTTTTTATTATTATTATTACTTTTTACGTTGAGAAGTAAATGTTGCTAAATTGGCAAAATTTGCAGGGGGGCCAAATTCGTAGAATTCTATTAAGCTGAATTTCACTTTACTTTTTTTTTTAAATTATATAAAAAGTGTTCAAATCAGAGTGACAATTGTACATTTTTTTGAATCTAATTCCGTCTTCATATAAAATATAAACAAATGTAAATGTATAGCTATCATGTTTTTATATGATGATATAAAATTAATATACGTAATTATTGCTAAACTGACCAATCGGAGTGGGCATGTAAAAATATATATTAAAAATATTTTTTTAAAGGGAGAGGCTAAATAAAATATAACCAATCATGGACAGAGGTAGGCTTAACCATTTAAGCCAATCAGCTTGAACGGTAGGCCATATTACGTTAGTTCGTCATCAAACCTATAACCTAAGGAGAAACTCTGAAGATTTAGCCAAATATTGCTCAAATTATTAATGATCTAAAAAAAAAAGCGAGACTGAACGTCATATAGCCTAGTTCGAGCACACTTTTCAGTAAATGGAAAAAAAGTCTTGGTGCAATTTTTTGTTAGTGGATCAGCTTACATCAGCCTCCCCGTAATATTTATTAGTCATTATCAAAACTGATCAGTGTTTTGAAGCATTTCTATTCACAAACAAATAATTTAACTGCCTGCAAGCAAGTCTGTGGTTTATTAGCCTATCTCACATAGCCTACAAAAACCACTAAATCATATTTTAAACCAAGATGCAGCTAGAAATTGTGTTTATTCCAGGATTTGATTTCAACATAGTCTAAAGATTTTTTTTTCTTTCCCTCAAAATGGCAAGTAGTCAAAGGTGCACTTGTAATTGCAGCTCATCACTTCATGAAGAATCGCCCATCATCAGTTTGTGAGTCACAGGCTGTTGCTCTAGTTTCTGAAGGTGTGGAGAAGCGCAGTGTTCATGCAGTGATTGGTAAATATCGAGCCAATCCAAATGTGAACAGCACAAGTGTACACTGAGGGAGTGGTGAGCCTGCGTCATACCTTCAACTTTCCTTCTCACTCTTCTAATCTCGTTTTAGCCTAGTAAATAGTTTATTGTCCGTTGACTAAGTGGGAAAATCCAATGGGAAATGTACTACCGCAAAGCGGAACTTTTTGATCATACACGCACCGCGGACTATTCAACAGGGAGAGCAGCCGAGGAAGATTTATAGAAGAATTTCATGGATATTTTATTTTAGCAAAAACCTTTTTTTTCTTCTCACCGGAATATCATCCACAGGCTGTCCATCTTCCTAGAGAAGGGTGTTTCCGCGGTATGTCTGAGGGCTCGAGGCGATCCTTCACTCACGAGACGAGACGAGATGAGACAGCAGGTGCTCGCGCTCAGCGCGCTCGTGTTTCTCTGTGCACCTCAGCCTGTAACTACACAAACACAAGAAGGTATAAAAGTGTTTGAATTATGTTTAAATGATATGTATTATTGTTAATGGCGTTATAAGAAACACGTATGTGAATTACTATCGTCTCGCCTAACAATTCATAATGTAAGTTTAAAATAATAATTAATTTTGATTTCCTTCATGGTTTATGCCCCTTAATAGCCTACCCCCTGGGTTTAGCTCCTTTCCACCTAATTCAATTTAATTAGTTGTTCCACCTATACACTAGTTAATAGGATGGAATCTGTACCTGGGTATAGTTGACCAATAACATAAACATTAACTTTATGTTTACGTAGCCTATTTAACTGTATAAATGAAAACAGGTGCTATGATCGGTCACACGATCACGTGATTGTTTTGCAGCTCATTTAAATAGTACTGTGGTGTGGCAGATGCATTTTAAAAGCACTGTGCAGTCCTTAAAACTCATGTAGAAATAAAACTGGCATATAATGTCTTGCATGAAGACGTTTAGCATGTCACACTGCTGTCACCTCTTGATATGTGACTCTGGACCTCAAAAGCAGTCTTAAGTCGCTGGGGTATATTTGTAGCAATAGCCAACAATACATTGTATGGGTCAAAATGATCAATTTTCCTTTTATGCCAAAAATCATTAATCCTAATAAGAAAAAAAATCATGTTCTATGAAGATATTTTGTAAATTTCTCACTGTAATTTTATCAAAACTTAATTTTTGATTAATAATATGCATTGATAATAACTTCATTCGGACAACTTTAAAGGCAGTTTTCCCAATATTTAGATTTTTTTTTGTACCGTCAGATTCCAGATTTTCTCGACCAAATATGGTCATATTGTCCTAACAAACCATACATCAAAGCTTATTTATTCAGCATTCAGTTGATGTATAAATCTCAATTTTTTTTAAAATTGACCCATATGACCCGTTTTGTGGTCCAGGGTCACATATGTCAAAAACCCACTTGAACTTTCTAGACATCGCCCGACCACAACTGACACACTTTTTTTTAAAATAGGCTCTTTAAATGGTCCAAAAAGTGTTTAGAAGAACCATTTGGGTTCCCAAAAGCACCTTTCAGTTAACTTTTTTTAAAGAACCATTTTTTCTGCATGTTTAATAATAAAGAAACTTTTTCCATTTAAAAATTACCTTTTGTGCAAAGTAAACTATCCATGGATGTTAAAGTGGTTTTTTTTTTTCTCAAACCATCACTGGCAATAAAGAACTTTTATTTTAAACGTGTTCAGAGCTTAATTGAGAATTAGCAAGGGTGTGTGAGTGGGATGAGCTTAAACATTAATTAAGGGAATGGCTTCTGTGCCTTTACAGCAAGCTCTTGTGAACTGTAATAATAATAATAATAATAATATAGGAAAATGCATGCTTGTACATTAAGTAAGGGAACGGCTTCTGTGCCTTTACAGCAAGCTCTTGTGAACTGTAATAATAATAATAATAATAATAATATAGGAAAATGCATGTGTAATAGGGCTGACGAGACGTGAGACATTCGGATCCAAATGCAAAGCTTTATTTCAGAGACGTGGTAACCAGGCAGGGTCAAAACACTGGCAAACAGGTATATGGCGGGCAAAACACAAGAATAGTCACCGAACAGCAGACAGAGTCACAGGGGCAAGGCTAAAGGGAGGAATCCAGGAAAACAGGCGAAGATCAAAACCGGAGAAAACAGACAAGGCAAGGCAAAAACTAGGAAAACACGGAGACTCGGAAAGGGGTACAGGCTAAACAATACTCAGCAGAGAAATGTGGTTAGAGTGGGTGTTATATAGTGAATGAGGTAATTAGAAACAGCTGTGTGCAATCAGAGCAATCAGGTGTGTGCAATTCGTGCTGAGTGCAATCAGTGCAATGCATGATGGGAAATGTAGTCCGGGGTGATGTGCAACAGTGTGTAGTGCGAGAGTCAATGAAATTAGAAGTACATGGACCAGATTCGTGACAGCATGCTTGTACATTAAGTAAGGGAACGGCTTCTGTGCCTTTACAGCAAGCTCTTGTGAACAGTAATAATAAAAATAATAATATAGGAAAATGCATGCTTGTACATTAATTAAGGGAATGGCTTCTGTGCCTTTACAGCAAGCTCTTGTGAACTGTAATAATAATAATATATAGGAAAATGCATGCTTGTACATTAAGTAAGGGAACGGCTTCTGTGCCTTTACAGCAAGCTCTTGTGAACTGTAATAATAATAATATAGGAAAATGCATGCTTGTACATTAAGTAAGGGAATGGCTTCTGTGCCTTTACAGCAAGCTCTTGTGAACAGTAATAATAAAAATAATAATATAGGAAAATGCATGCTTGTACATTAATTAAGGGAATGGCTTCTGTGCCTTTACAGCAAGCTCTTGTGAGCTGTAATAATAATACTATATAGGAAAATGCCTGCTTGTACATTAAGTAAGGGAATGGCTTCTGTGCCTTGACAGCAAGCTCTTGTGAGCTGTAATAATAATACTATATAGGAAAATGCCTGCTTGTACATTAAGTAAGGGAATGGCTTCTGTGCCTTGACAGCAAGCTCTTGTGAGCTGTAATAATAATACTATATAGGAAAATGCCTGCTTGTACATTAAGTAAGGGAACGGCTTCTGTGCCTTTACAGCAAGCTCTTGTGAACTGTAATAATAATAATATAGGAAAATGCATGCTTGTACATTAAGTAAGGGAATGGCTTCTGTGCCTTTACAGCAAGCTCTTGTGAACAGTAATAATAAAAATATATAGGAAAATGCATGCTTGTACATTAAGTAAGGGAACGGCTTCTGTGCCTTTACAGCAAGCTCTTGTGAACTGTAATAATAATAATATAGGAAAATGCATGCTTGTACATTAAGTAAGGGAACGGCTTCTGTGCCTTTACAGCAAGCTCTTGTGAACTGTAATAATAATAATATATAGGAAAATGCATGCTTGTACATTAAGTAAGGGAACGGCTTCTGTGCCTTTACAGCAAGCTCTTGTGAGTCATGTTGACTTGATATATTGACACTCTTGAAATAATTAAACCAGCTTCTACTTAAACAGCTTCAGGGCAAAGAGCTCTTTTTCCCTCAGTAGCTCTTTTTCCACAGAACATTAGCTTTAAGAACTATGATTCCAGTGATGGCCAATCCCATTCTCGTACTTTTACCGCCAATCACATTACGTCACTGAGCTGAACAGAATAAGGTGTGGGACTGTAGTGCGATGTCATAAACTGCTCTTTAATAACTCCTTTACAACCATGGCTCCAAAGTTCAGCCTCTTTTAAGCATACAAGAGGTTTGATAAGAAGGACTGGACTAAGTTAATAATGTAATCACTCTTTCCTTCCGGTGTAAAGAAGACTGGGAATGGTTGACATCTGCACCGACCCAATAAAACCTCTCCTGATGGTGCAATATCAAATATTAAGATCCTGTAGATGTGTGTATATAGGTGAAGCCTCTTTGTTTTAAAAGTCCAATGCATCACTTCATTTAAGACAGAAACTATGCATACGTCCCACTAACCGCCAAACCTAATGGCCTCTGATTCGGAGCAGTCTGTACTTGCAGAAGATGACGTGAATAGGTGTGGATGTGTGTTTTGGAGATTGTCTTTTTTGTCTCATGCCGGCTCTTATTTCAGTTTGACACTAGTACTCTTTTCATGTCTTTCTCCATGTGTCTGCTAATCTATCTTTGCTTTCCCTCATGGATTCTTCCATTCACCCTTTTTTTGTCTCTTGTTCTGCCTGTCATACATGCTCAGTCCCCGCCCTGACTCTGTTATTAATGCTCATTGAGCTATAATCATTGTGCACTGCTGGATACTATTGCATGTTCCATAGAAGTCTCTGCTCTCTATCTGTGGTACTGTTGACTTAAGATTACTTGTGTGAATGAACAGGACTCCATGCATTATTAGCATCCAGACATCATGTATGTGTGTGTGTGTGTGTGTGTGTGTGTGTGCGTGCGTGGGCATTTTTGTGATTTATGAGGACACAAATTTGTATAATGACATAGGTATTACAACGAGAAGGTGATAAATGAGGACCTTTTGAGTGTCCCCATATTTCAAAAGGCTTATAAATCATTCAGAATTACTTTTTTTGAAAATCTAAAACTGCAGAAAGTTTCCTGTAAGGGGTAGGTTTATGTGTATGGTTGGTGTAAGGCGATAGAAAATACAGTTTGTACAGTATAAAAAACATTACGCCTATGGAATGTCCACACAATTCACAAAAACAAACCTGTGTGTGTATGAACATGCATATGCTATCTAGACAATACCTCATGTAATAGCAAATATGTATGTAAGTCATGTTGGTGTGTACACCTTTACACATGCATGTATTCATAGTGTATTGTATAAGGATGTTTCTCAGATTTAATTTAATAATTTTGAATAGATAATAGGGATGCACTGATTAAAATTCTGGCCAGTACAATAATTATTCAATGATTCAATATTAAAAACCTCAACTGATTTAATCCATGTTGTGATGCTTAAGAAAATGTAGGCACCACAATATTATATGTTACAGTATGAAATATGGATAACTATTGATTTTGAGATCTGTTCAAGAATGTAATGACAAAAAAGAGGTGGAAAAGTGCTCTCAAAGAGTTACATTTCTGCTCTAATGCCGGTCTTTTTTGACCTGGAAGATATTTTTTAAAAATGCATAGTTTTTAGAAAAGGAACCTAACTTTGCAGATGGTCCATAACTATCAAAATGCACATTTCCTTTTTTTAGATAAAAAAAACAAAAACAAAACTGAGAAAAGAAAAGAGTTCTGACCCGGGAATAAACGGAGGCTTTACACATCATGATGTTATGCAGACTTTTGTTTTTTACATCTTGATTTTTTTCTCACATCTATGAGACTTTGAGTACCTATGAGTATCTATTTAGGCTTTTTCCAATATCTTGCACATACTTTTGTGACTGACATTTTTTGGTAAACATGAATATACATGATTATTGATGAATCATTGCAGCATGAAAAATACA